AGCTTCTCCAAACGTTTGCCTTAGAGAGGGAAGAGATGAGGGAAAAATGAATGGCGTGTGTAAGAGGGAAGGCTTAAGTACACATGAGGTTGGGTGGGCTGTCCAAATAGCGCCAAGCCTAGACAAATGACACTGAAAATAGCATGCACTCAACAGGTGGCACTCACAACTCTTGCACATCAGAGACACAGCCGGCACTACATAGCCGGTGCTATGCACATGGCGAAACACAGTCGACACTGACTTACACTCTCTCTTCATGGCCGGCGCTGCTCCCCATTCACAAATGGTGATGCCCCTCGTTTATGCGTGGCGTTGACTCTCTCTCTTCTCCAAATGGTGTTGCCCCTCTTTTGTTCACGTGCAGCATTATACCTTAGTCATAGCTGGCGTTGCCTCTTGAACCACAGACGGCGCTGCCCCCTTTTAACAGACTCCTACAGTCGTGTGTGATACTGTGGTCGGGAAACTATGGTCCTCACATCTAAAGTCCTTTTTATGCCATCATTTTCCTCTAACTTGATGTTTGTTAGTAGAATTACTCAAAGCATGAATTGCAATGTTATTTTTTCTTCTAACTCTGTGACTTTCCAGGACCCGGCCATGGGGAGAAAGATTTATGAATGAAGATTGTCTTATGGTCTATATTTATTTAATCAAAAGAAAAAAGCTTTAGTTGTCAGTCAAGATAATTTTGATATTAATAAATTGTGGCATTAGAGATTTGGACACCCTTCAGATAAAGTTTAAAAAATTTTATTTCATCTCTATCTTTAAACTCTCATTCTTATGAAGTTCGTAAATTCTTAAAATAGACAAGACCTCCTTTTCAGTCTTCTATGCATGTTTATTTAATACATTCTAATGTGTGGGGACCAGCCCCAGTTGATTCTTATGCCGTCTTTAAATATTTTGTTATTTTTATTGATGATTGGTCTCGTACTACTTGTGTATATTTATTGAAATAAAAAGTATTTTTTTTTTTTTTGTTTTCAAATTTATTTCCAAACTGATATCCACTCAATATAATGGCAAGATTAGAATTCTGCGAATTGATAATGGCACAGAGTATGTGAACAAAGTTTTTTTCTGAGTATTTATGTAATCCTGGTATTATACACAAAATATCGTGTGTTGCAACACATCTCAGCAGAACGAAGTTGTTGAAAGGAAAAATAGACACTTTTTTGAAGGTATAAAGACTTTGATGTTTCAGATGCATGTTCCAAAAAATTATTGGTCTGAAGCTGTTTTAACTGCTTGCTACTTGATTAATAGACTTCTGAGTAAAAGTCTTAAGGATAAATCTCCCCTTGAAGGTTTGGAAAATATAAAAATTGATTTGTCTCATTTGCATGTATTTGGATGTGTATCTTATGTTCATATGATTGAGCACAATCAGGATATACTTGATAAACATTCTAGAAGATGTATCCTTCTTGGATACATCTCCACTCAAAATGGATACAAATGTTATGATCCTACAACTAGAAAAATGCATATATCACAAGATGTTCAATTTGTTGAAACAAAGTCATATTTTGACGACACATTAGAGAGTGATTTGAAAAAGATGACTCGGGGGAGAGTTCAAGTGTCATTTGCCCTTACTTAATATTAGTATTGATACATCCAGCACATCTGAAACAAGTCATGATAATCAAGCCAAAGCTGATTATACCTTTGAAACTCACCAAATTGGTTTAGAAGAAGGCCCCACCTGCTCCTCCCTTGTGCGGTCTTCTTGTATCTCTCAACTTTCCTCTAGACTTCAAGATTTTACATCTACTAAACAGTTTCTTATCATGTTCAAAATTATATTTTCTATGAAAATATCTCTCCTGGATATTTTATTTTTTTGAGTTCTATTTCTAATAATTCCGAGCCAACTAATTTTTAAAATGATACTCTCAACCTATGTGGAGGAAGGCTATAAAAGAAGAACTTCATGCATTTGACAAGAACCATACATGAGACATTGCCAAGTTATTCAAAGGGCAGAAAACAATTGGATGTAGATGAATTTTCTAAAATCAAATATAATAGTGATGGGTTTGTTGAGAGGCATAAGGCCAGGTTGGTGGCTAAATGATTTACCCAAACTTATGGAGTCGATTATAAAGAGACTTTTGCATCAGTTGTCAAGATGAATATTGTTCGTATTCTTTTGTCTATCGCAGTTAATTGTATATAGTCTCTACATCAGATGGATGTTAAAAATACCTTCTTATATGAGACATTGAAGAAGAAATCTATATAAGTATTGCTCTAGGTCATTCTAAAAAAAAGAACAAACGTCTTGTATGCAAATTAAAGGAGGTCTTTTCTGGACTTAAACAATCACCTTGTGCAGCTTATACCAAACTCAGATCAGCTTTGATGAGTATTAGGTTTCTTAAAACAACTGATTCTTCAATGTATATGAAAAAGGAAACTTCAGGTATAACAATTGTACTCATTTATGTTGATATTATCGTTATAGGTGATGATAAAGAAAGACTCATGCAGCTTAAACATTATCTTCACAAGAAATTTAACATCAAGGACCTTGGTCAACTAAAATATTTTATCGGCATTGAAGTAGTATACTAAAAAAATGGACTCTTCATTTCTCAAATAAAATATGACTTTAATCTATTGCAAGAAACTAGGAAACTGGGAATCAAACCCGTTGATACCTCTGTTGATATTAATTATAAGCTTGATTCAAGAAATGAAATACCTCTTAAAGACGTGGGTCGCTTTTAGAGACTTGTAGGTAGATTGATTTATTTGATTGTGACACGACTAGATATAACATATGCAAATAGCTTTGTGAACCGATTTATGCATGCTCATAGATCATGTCATATAGATATTGTCAATAGGATTCTCAGATACCTTAAGTCGTCACCCGGGAAAGGTATTTGGATGAAACCAAATGGTCATACTAATATTATTGATTATTCAGATGCTGATTGGGCAGGTAGTCCAGTTGACAGGAGGTCCACTACTGGTTATTTTACATTGGTTAGAGGAAACTTAGTTACTTGAAAAAACAAAAAACAAAATGTAGTTACTCGATTCAATGTAGAGTCCGAATATAAAACTACAACTTCAACTACACGTGAATTGATATGGCTAAAATCACTACTTCGATATATGGGGTTCCCAAAGGTCAATCCAATGGAGATGTTCTGAGATAATCAAGTAATTATGCGTATAGCCTCCACTTCAGTTTTTCATGAAAGAACCAAGTATATAGAAGTTGATTGTCATTTTGTGAGAGAAAAGATTCAGCAAAAAATTAGTAGCACTCCTTATGTTCAAAGTGAAAACCAATTAGTAGACATGTTTATCAAAACTATTACAAAGACAAAGTTCTATTAGATACTGTTCAAGTTGGGCTCCCTGGATATCTACGCACCAACTTTAGGGGGAGTGTTGAAGGTTATAACAACAAGATATACAGTTTCTTATCTTATGGATTACAGGACAATAAGTTTCCTCTATTAAAAGCTTCCTATTTAGTGAGATTACAATTATAATGAGATTTGTTTTCTAAAAGACAATTGTTACTCTATAAATAAATTAGAGTAATCCATAGAAATGAAATACTGGTTTACCCTCTATGGATGTAGGTAACACCGAAACCATGCATATGTCTGGTTGATTTCTCTATCTTATCTCTATTTTCCTTAATTGCAAATTCTACAGTTATCTATTAAGAGATTTACCCTTTGCGACATAGTGAGCTTGGCCAATAGGTGCGACCATGACTAATGGTGTTGCTGAAACTTGGGAATGTCAACCATCCAGGAGTAGACAGAGCAAATAATGACCCAAGGGATTCGGTAGGGTAGAGTCTCATTGCCTTGGAGGCCGGGGTCGGCACATTGAAAGCCAAAATGGAGGACTCTTCTGGAGTTTATAATGCTCATGGATGACCTTAAGGCCTTCATAGATTCTTTCATGGCCAACCATGAAAGTTTTTAAGGAGGCCTCGAGTGGCACCACAGGAGGGTTGCACTCTTGAATTATGAGAGTACCATAGCCAAGGGTGCTTGAGGTTTATAGATGCATCCAAATTGTCAGCCAAAATATTTTATACGCATGCAGAAGTATGTTATCCATTTATTTCCTCCTGCAAAACTCGTGTGAGGAATATCTTTTAAGGAAAATGTGTATGGTCCCTCGGGGGACACAATTTAACGTTTGCATCTGTTGACACAGCGGGCACAAAAGATGGATACAAGAAAGTGGTGATTCCACAGAGGACTAAAATGAATCTCGCGAACTATTCTTCAAAAAATTTCATTTTATTTTTTTTTAAATTCATTTTTTTTATTTTTACATATTAATCGTCCTTGTGTTAGATATTACGTATACCTAAAATAATGGATTGAAAATCCATTTCAAAATTGGACAAAGGAGAGGACACATAACTGTGCCCCTTTTTTTAATCCCAAAATTACGGGATGTATAATCCCTAAAACCTAGTAACCGAGGGAAAAAAAAGAAAGAAAGAAAAAGAAGTAGGTTTTTTTACGGCCTAGGATTTATGTCAACAAATAAAGCCTCATCTCAAATTTTCATATGGAAAGCACTTTCTCCCGCAAAAACATATATGATAGATCTAAAATCAATTTCCAACATTGATAATGAAATTTGAAACTAAAAAAATTTTCAATGTGGATCTATAAACACGTAGGTTTTAGGGCAAAATAAATGGTTTAGATAATTTGATCTATAAACACGTACGTTTTATGGCAAAATAAATGGTTTAGATAATTTTTCATAATATACATTATTTTTAGAGCTTAAAATCCTTATTTTTTAGTACTTGGATTGCCATTTTCCATGAGTTGAGAGGTGAGGCTTTACTTATTTCGACCGGGATGCAGCCTTATAGAACCATTTTTACAAAAAAAAAAAAAAAAAAACACTCTCTCCCTTGAATATCTAACAAAAAAGACATCCCCAATATTCCATAAAGGAGCATCAACAATTCAAAATCCCAATTTTCCTTTGCAAATAATCTACTCTATCAAGATCTCCACTAACATTCTCTCTCTAAATTCTTACTCTCCCTCTCTAAATTCTCTCTCCCTGCCTCTTATCCAAGCGTCGCGGCGTGCACGGATAAGAGGCAATTCCAGCGCTTAATTTTGAACTTCGAAGAGAGAGAAGAAATCAGGAAACCAAAGACTGATATCTCTCTTTCTCTCTGTTGCTGCTGTGCCTTGCTAGAGTACAGTCTTTCATGACCTTCTCTCTCTACCCATGGACGGCCCCCCCACCATGAAAGAAGAACCAGAAGAAACCCTAAACCCATTCCAAAAACACATTGAAAGCATAGGAAAACCAGACGCCATTGAAGAAGCTCCAGCCCAAGAAGAAGAAGGGCGGCCCCTCTCATTCCAGGAACCGGAAACCAAACAGGAACCAGAAGAAGAGAGAGCTTCGGCAAAGGAGGAGGAAACAGAGAAGGAAGTGAGGGATTCAGAAGAGGAAGAGAGAGAAACCGAGAAAGGGCCCGGAGAACCAGTAGAAACCAACGTCAATGAAGAATCACAACCAGTTGTACCAGAACCAACTCCATTGGAGGAAGAAGATGAAGAAGAAGAGGATTTAGGGCCCCATGCTTCATCAGACATTCAAAAGAACATCACCCAAAAGAGGAAATCTCTCTCTTCGATTGATTCAAGCTTCAAAACTGAACCTGCAAAAAGGTCCAAGAAGCGAAACAATGTGTGGGCCAAATCAAGCTCTAGAAAGGGAGGAAAGAAGGGGAAAACCAATGGAAATTTAGCAGATGACACAGCTTACATAACCCCAGTTCCTCGATTCCCCGATAAAATTGACGATTCTCGTGACTTGAAAATCTGTTTATCAAAGATTTACAAAGCTGAGAAAGTCGAATTGAGTGAGGACCGGTTGACTGCAAGCAGTTGCAAAGGCTACAGAATGGTTAGGGCAACGAGGGGGGTCCTCGAAGGGGCCTGGTATTTTGAAATTAGGGTTTTGAAGCTTGGGGAGAGTGGGCACACAAGGTTGGGGTGGTCAACTGAGAAAGGGGATTTACAGGCACCAGTTGGTTATGATGGGAATAGCTTTGCTTACAGGGATTTAGAGGGAAGCAAAGTTCACAAGGCTCTGAGAGAGGTTTATGGGGAAGAGTATAAAGAGGGAGATGTTATTGGGTTCTATATAAATTTGCCTGATGGTGGTCTTTATGCTCCAAAGCCTCCTCATTTGGTTTGGTATAAAGGGCAGAGGTATGCTTATGCTGTTGACCCCAAGGATGACCCCCCAAAAGTGATACCTGGTATACAATTTTATCTTTATAACTTTTTATTTACTTTTGTCATTAGTTATGTTGGTGATTTTTCATGTTTGTGATAGATGCATTTTGTTGGATTTCTATTTGAATATTTCTATATTAGAATATCTCTATATATCATTTATTTGAGGTTGGTGGGTTTTGGGGAATTGGTTTCTATGTTGTGATTTTGATTCTTTGCTTTGTTTGTCTACTCCGCGATACACAAGAAGCACATAGAGAAATTACTTAGAGATATTAAAAGGAGACTGAGTTATGGATATATTCTTTCCTAGTTGACTTAATTACTGTACCACTTATGAGAAAGAGATGCACCTTAAAGGAGTTTACCAAATTTTTTTCTTTTTACCCTAGAGTTAGTGACTTAGTTACTTCCACCACTTTCATTTCCTTTGGAGGAACTGAGCAAGTGTGGATTGAAGATTCCTCTTGGAGTTGTCAATGGTTAGTTGTTGTTTAGTGGCTGCACCTGATTATAATCCTCATAGATGACAATGTTGTATGTGTTTTTCGCTATTTTTACCAAGTTTGAGTGATTTATGTTTTGGACGTATGCATTTAGGTATTCTTTACATTTTTTTTATTTTCCACCATGCTTAGGATTTTCTTCCTCATTTGGCTGGGAGGAAGTATTTAGAATACTACTTGAAAGAAATCTTGATTTGCAAATAAGTATAGATGTATCGTTTGTCTCCCTATATTCTCATGGCATAAGTGCACCTTTTAGACTTTCCTTCCTTTTAAGCAGTCAACTGATGTAGTCTCAGTTATGTACGGATTTGGAACTATGATTCATCTTGGTCGAATAGATATCAACATGATGTGTGGAATTGGAATGGCTTTATTGGTCACTTTTTTCTTGGTTTTAAGGAAACTTATTGCGAAGAGAAGACCGTTGCTCATATTGGTTCTTTGCTCCCTAGGGGATGGTAGTTTAGGAGGGTCATAACTTATATTGACTCGTTCCTTTTGTTGAGCACTTGAGGTGTAGCCATAAGACTCTGTATTTGCATGAGGCCTATTTTCTTGTTTGTACTTCCTGCTATTAGGATAATATTGTTATTTTTCCTTTAATAAATATCCTTCGTTCATAATCAAAATATATAGGATACATAATCTTATATCAAATTGTGTAGCTTGTACAAGAGTCGCTAGCTTGTACTAGAGTCACAAATGCGATGCATAGGGATGGAGTCCATCACAAAATTCTTTAGCCATTCCTGTCTAGTTATGGAGACATCAATCTCATTTACATGCTCAGTAATATGACCGAATGAACTGTCAATAAGTCAATAATATCTTCCATTACATCCATTACCGTCAATAGCATTCTTACCTAACATCCTACTTTGCTGGTATCATTCAACAAATCATCCTTGTCATCGATGGCAGCACTTAGCTATGAGTTTTAATTTGAATTTCATAACTTCATGAATTGGTACCATCCTTCATCCTTAAATGGGTTTCATGAATCAGAAAGTTATTATCCTTCTCTTTATTCTTAAATCCGAGAAGATTGCTGAAGACAAATCTTTTGAGAGAGAGTCACTCTTTCCATAAAGAACCTGACATGAAACTTTATAGACAACAGAGGTCCATTAGCAGTGCCTTCACATGGTGAACTCTAAACGGATCAAAGATTGTGATATATCCTTTTCATAGCACAGTAATTGAAAAGATGATTGATGGTCACCATTAAAAAGCCCTATTCTGTTATTTTGGTTCTCAAACAATCCTCACCCTAGGTGAATCTTCCAAAAGTAATGACACTTAGTCAGAGGAAGCTTATCTTTATTTTTTTTCCCCTACATTTGGTTGGTACCATATCAGCCACTGGAATAAGGATTTGCATAAAGGATATGAAATTCATTACGATATTAGCTGATGTTTTCATGACAAGGGTGCTTGTTTCGCCAAACATGTATTGATGTGTTATCTCCATAGGAGAGTGAATGACCCTTCTCTGAGTTTTTTTTTCTTTTTCTGACATGTTGTGTTGATTTTATTCCTTTTTCTGAATATTATGGCATACTCGACATTTGGTTCCATTTTATGAATTTTGATTGATGTACTATCTACGAGTCTTTCAATGAACTGTATCTATCCCTTTGATCAATGCTTGTCATCATACTAAACCATGCCCTCACCAGGCACACTGGTACCCAATTGATCCTTTTTTGGTTCCAAATTTGGGAGTACAATCAGTTGGGCCTACTTTTGTGGTCAGAGAAAGAAAAGAAGTTGGTATAATCGAAATATGGTACTTCCTCTCTGTGAACAACCAACATGCCAAGAGAGGCTAATATGGTACATTGTTTGTCGTATGGAACTTCTGTAATAACTATCAGCCACTAACTCATTGTAGCCATGTCTGATAGTTAAATCCTAATTTATGAACTCTGCGACCAACCAATTGATCCCCCACCCCACCCAAAAAAAGGACTGTTTTTTTGTTAGACTTTGTTTTTTTCACTTGATTTTTTTAAAAATTTTTAGATGATGTAATATTAACAAGTCGAAATTCTGAACTGTGTTTTTATTGAATCAGCAACTCCCGTATTTTGATTTTTACCTGATGTGAGAAGCATAATTATATTTCTGTACTTACTCCTTCTCACTTCTCAAAAAAAAGATAAAAAGCAGAAAATGAGGAATACTTAGGGGTGTTTGTCAGGCTCTCAGCTAGGCTTATATGGAGTGAAAATTTAATAAAGCCCAAGGTTATGATCAACTCTAATTGGGTTCCCCAGCCAGTTATAATTTATGAAGCATTAGTCTGTTGGTATTTCTATCATCTTAACAAAATAAATTGAAAAACCTTCCCACGTTTTCCCTACATTCTAGGTCAAACTTGATATTGGTATAGCCATATAGGCCACAGCATGACCAATCATAGTGTAATTCAAAGCTTAGGTGTGTTTTTTCATTTCCATTCAAAACAATTGTCTAACATTTAGTCACACAGTCGCATGTTTACAGTAGTTAGAAGAGGCTTTTTGTCATGAGAATTGTGGCCCGTGCCTTCAAGATTCATCCCTGGAACATTTATTTTGTCTGGTCCATGAACTATGCGAGGATGGCTGGTAGCGCTGAGCCTAAATAACCCAATGTTGGGTGGCTGAATGATCCCTGGTAAAATCACCAGTTCAGAAAAATGTCAGGTTGTTTTTCCATTTATTATTGGATGGCTTTATTCAGCTAGTGTCGATAATGAATCATGAATCAAATGTCTTGGCGTTATATATCTTGGTGGCCTCTGGGTTCTTGGCAAAGTCTTACATTAGTATCCATGAGTGACAACTCACTCTGATTACTGACAAGTGTTATAATAGACATAAGGGGTAAACTCCTCAAAGTCTTATTATGGAAACTTTCTTAAAGGAGGCCCAGCAAAGCCTCTTAAGCGATGGGAATTCCTCGAAAGAGATTAAAGATCCTAGTTTGTGTTCTTGTGCTATAATATTAAGTAGTTGGATGACGTAAGTTTGGATCATTCTAGTCTGTTTTTTTATTACATAGTAACAAGTTCGCGAGTAGATTCTACGAACCAAAAGATCTGTACCGAACAGCATTTTTATACACAATTAAATATCCTAGTTTGTTGTCTTGTGCTATAATATCAAGTAGTTGGATGACGTAAGTTTGGATCATCCTGGTCTGTTTTCTTATTACATAGGAACAAGCTCGCTAGTGGATTCTACGAACCAAAAGATCTGTACCGAACAACATTTTTATACACAATAGCAACAAGATTCACTTTTGAAGTGATACTGTTGGTGATATCCTGATGGGAGGATTCACTTTGAAGGGATGGATAGGTTGTGTTTGACCTTTGGAGAGGGTGTTAACAAGACAACTGAAAAGAACTGGGATAGCTAGTTCTTGTCATCTTTGCTGCTATGATAAAGAGGGAGTGCAGCACTTCATTTTCCGATATGACTTCCCTGGAGAGTGTGCGCCTTTTCTGTTTGACTTTAATGATACAAATAACTTCTAAATATTAGGAAGTTATCAAGATAGTTTTGTTGAATTTGGCAGTGGATTGCTGACCTATAGGAAACCCGTGATCTCTTTGCAAAATGGGTTGCCTATTTTGAGTAGCCCATTTTGGTTTCTGGATGTTTGGGAAACTAATAGAGACATGAAATTGACTGCAGTATGGAGGACTGTTTGTGTGATGACAAATGAAATTATTAAGTGCTTCAGGAATGTGGCTGATATGGGGGGAGGATTGCTCTTTGGAAGGGTTTGTTGCATGGAGAGAGATTGTCTACGGGTCACATTTGCGAATTTGTTGGGGATAGCTACTTCATATTGCTACTTTGTGGGGCATATTGAGGGATAGAAATACTTATATTTGGGGGGTAAGTGTGTAAATGTGATTACTCTCACGTATGTTATGTCATTATTGATCAGCACATGTAGGAGGGGCTTGTTCTGTGGTGCTTAAACTTTGATATTTTGTACAAGTTGTAATGTTTCATTCAAGCTTGTGCCTTGTGCCAATGAAGAGGCAGACGGTATGTTGAAAGAAGGATGTTTGGGGCGCTTTCAAGATTGTTTCGGGAGGCCTTGCAAGCTGTTGAACTTTTGGTGTTAGACTGTACCTATCATATTTTTCTTAGTTCATTTAGAAATAGCATTGATAATAGTCGTCTTAGCCATTATGTACCACGAATATTTCAAACATGAAAAATAACTTGAGAGTGGGGTGTTCTTATTGCTTTGGGGAAGAATTCCTGGCCATGCTAACATCCCAACTATAAAAATACTGCCATTGCCGTAAGTTAAGTTCAGTTTTAGTCAACAGGTACAGATCAGTTTGCTGTTAGCTTTCTGTGTTCTTATTGAGTGTTATCCTGAATGTCTGTCTGGGTGGTATGTTATGCAGTAAATTATAGTTGATGAGCTAAAAATGTATATTTAGTCTGCGCAATGCCTGAATCATGACCTCTTGCATAACTGTTAGTTTTTACTCACTCTCTCTATCTCACACACATGAATACACTGTCAGTAAATTGTGAAATTTAAAATCTGTGGAACTTATTTTCATCTCTTAAATTTCATAGTCATGCATTGCTGTTAGTATTCTACTTTCTTATTCAGTGTGACCTTGAATTCCTGTCTAGGTGGGTACATGGTGTAGTAAATTATAGATGATGAGCTGAAAATGTATGTTTAGTCCGCGCAATGCATGAATTATGGATGAACAGGGACACCTCTTGCATGAATGTTAGTTTCTACTCTCTCCTTTTTCATTAGTATACAACCTTCCATTCCTCCTCTCTCTCTCCATTTCTAACATACCATATCCCATTGTATAGTTACTGTTAGTAAATTGCTAAATTTAAAATCTGTGGAACTTACTATCATCCTCTTAAATCTTATAGTTACAGTATTACATATTACTTGTATCCTTGATTTGCCTCAAAATGCATGACCAAACAGAGAATGCTTCTTGCTCTCTCTAAACATAAAAATGATTTAAGTTAACCAATTGATGCAATCTTTGAACCCTGTGACTTTGGCCTTCTTCGAAAGTTTCAAGTGGTGAGTTTTCTCTTGCAGGGAGTGAGGTGACCTTTTTTAAGAATGGAATATGTCAAGGTGTTGCTTATAGAGACATTAATGGAGGAAGATATTATCCTGCAGCCTCAATGTACACTCTCCCTAACAACCCCAATTGCTCTGTGAGATTTAATTTTGGCCCAGATTTTGAGTGTTTTCCTCAAGATTTTGGTGGTCGTCCAATTCCAAGGCATATGATCGAAGCACCTTACCATGGATTCGATGTGGAAGCTCTAGAAAAGGAACCTGTTAACGAAAACGGCCATTCTGAGAAAAGAAGCTAGAAAAGTAAATTTTATTTTCTTACTTTTTAATTTATGTTTCTTTCAGATAGTGGGTGCAATTTTTTCAAACTCGAAATTGATTCAAGTTCTTGGAGAACATTCATTCCATAGAAAAAGATGGGTTGTGTGTGTTTGAGCTCACTCCTGTGACTCTGCTTCCAGTGCTCTCTCTCTCTGGGTGAGTGGTCTTACATTGCTCCTCTCTCCCTGTGTTGTAGGTGATTTGGGTTAATTTTTTTGGTTATTCTCCATTTCTCTCTCTCTCTCTCTGTGGGTTGTGGCCGATTGATCTCATTTTAATGAGTCTCTCTCTTTTTGTTGTGGGTGATTTGAACTCATTTTTTGGTTATCTCCTATTGCATTCTCTATTTCTCTGGGTTGCTGGTGATGAGCTCATTGTAAGGAGGGAATTGTTTACAAAGGTACCATTTATCTTTTGCTAAGGAGGTTATTGTCCTTAAAATCTCAAAATGGGTGCTTGAGATTGTCATTAAAATAGACACAAAGTTCCATAAAAATTTATGGTATTCACCAGTCACAAAAATAAATGCTCTCTCTCTTTTGGTACGCCTATTCTACTCTTATTTCCTGTGGCATACTCGGTGGTCGTCAACCCAGTCCTCCTTTCAATGACTATTCTGCCCTTCCTAATTTTCATTGAATTCACAAGAACAATATGAATTCTCTGTACTCTGTACCCAATGTATTATATTAAATGTAATATGGTCCTGCAGGAGCAGATGATGCCTTTAGTCCTTTGGTTAAAATCTTATATATGAGTATTTTTAGGACGTAGCGTCTTCATCATAGAAACCAACAAAAAAGGAAAACAAATAAAAATAAAGCCACCCTCAACACATATGTGATGGGAAAGATAACTATTGAATTGAGAATGTACATAGTTTAGGCAATATGGAGATTCAATTGTTTTTCTTCAAAGGAAAAAGTTTGTATAATAAGGTCACAACCTTATATTATAGAAGTAACGTGCCCTTAAAAATTCCTGTAAAAACTGGTGTTTCGAAGGTAGAGAACCTTCCAATTGATCTCTCAACCTCGTGATATATGGATCTAAAAAAAAAAGAGTTTCAAGTCATAAAAGTAGTGTACTTTATATAACAAGATATTCGGACCGTCCAGTTTCAAGATTTTCAAGTGTTTATAGATTTGTACAATCTATATTTTTTTTTTAGAATTTTAAATTTCATAAGTAGGGTTGAACATGGAGTTTCAAGTGTTTATAGATTTACACGATTTATACTTTTAAAAAAAAAAAATTAAATTTCATAATTAGAGTTGGACATAGAGTTTCAAGCCATTGTAAGGTTTTTAACACCAAAACTATATCTTTCAGCAGAATTTAGAGGCGTGCCTTAATTGTATAGTATGAGGTTGATACCTTATACAAACCTCACCTTGAAGGAAAATACTCGGGTCTGTAGGAAGCCCTTTGGTATTTTCTACGAGGTAGTAATTGTAATTGTATAGATAGATCCCAACTAAAGGGAAGTTAAATGAAAAGAAAATTGTTTGGTGCATTCAAGCCTCGGAGATCTGCACTGTCCACCAAAACCGGGTACCATAAATAGTAATCCTTCAAAAATAGTAAAATCAACCGTTCAAATATATTCTCAAAAAATATAATTTTTTAGCTTTTAAAATTTATTTATTTTTAGAGATTAATAATTTCCATGTTAAAGACTATATATTTCTTAAAATTTATCATTATCATCATTTTAGTATTTTTTCAATTAATTAGGATTGGCTATATAAATTATGGTTCTCCATTCTGCTCGATTAAAGACCATGTTTTAAGTGAAGCCATAAATCTCCATGTCTGATCAAATTTTATTTCAAAAATACATTATTAAGGAGTTTTTTTCTATATGTGAGTCTATGGACTCATAGAAACCGTGTCCTAAATGAAATTCTTATAAATTTTCTGGAAGTTAGCCTATTTGAGTTGTTCCCGCAATTTTTGTAGGATTTAGATAGTTTTGATGCTTAACCTTTTTGTGCGGGAGACTGTATAAAGCCCGATGGGCTTTCATGTAGTATAAGAGATTTTGCTTTCTGTTTCACTCCAAATTTTGTTTTGCGCGCATCTATTTTTCCAGTTGACAAAAAAATGAATTTTTATAAAAGATTGAGGGTAAAATTACTAAATTTTTTGTGAACATTGGGTAGACTCTAGAACTTATTTATTTTTTTAAAATCAGAGCATCAAATTTCAGCCCAAAAGAAAACGATCAAAGTACATGTTTTGGAGGTCGACCTATACTGTAGCTTTAAGTTCGATAGCCTGTATAATCTTTTCCTTTGCAGGTCTACGATTGTTTTAGAGGGAGAGATATTGTGTCTGTGTGCTAGACTTCTTTTATTTCTTTTATAACCTTTATTAAAAATATGAAAACTTTTTAATTCAATCGTAAGATTTCTGGCATTGCAAGTACATCGCGCGAGGCAAAATTTAGAGGTGCGGCTTACTGCTACAGTATAATAGAGAACCTTATAGCAAACTCACCCATTATTAAATGGGCTGGTTTTGCCTCGACGTACTCTATTCGCTTAAGAGGTGCACGTGCACTATGCTTATCCAAGGGCCAATAATTAATCTTATTTTTTTATCTTTAGAAATGGTATTAATTTGAAATTTTGGTTTTAGGTTCATTTTTATAAATAAGATTGAATAAAATTAATAAAAAAATATTTTAAATAAAAAATATTGACCAAAATAAATTTAGATGTACTTGCCATTTTTTATTTAAAATATTTCATTATTATTTTTATGTAGTTATATTTATAAAAATACACCTATACTCCAAAATTCAGATAAATATATTATTTCAAAAATAAAAATAAAATATAAGACTAATTTTTAGCCGTTGGATATGGTCATACGAGATCTCAACCATTGGATGGGTGCTTATGCACCCTTCCACCCGTCCACATGATGTGGATGGGATATTTTTCCTTGTTGATCTCTTAAATTATTTCAACAAGGAAAAAGTTTATACGAGGTATCAATCTTGCAATATAAAAGTGAGGTGCACCTCAAAAACTATAAAAAAAGGTTGTTCCGACGCATAAAAGTCATATACTTGATCATCTCAATGTCAAGATGTCGTCATCATCATAAGCAGATTTCTTTTATGTTGGTTGCCTATTAACACAACCGACGTCTTTTACTTGGGCTTGAGGCAGGTTAAGGGAAAGTTTAAAGTCATCGCCTTTCTTTGATTACTCAACGTCAAGATGTATGAATTGAAAAAAAGAAAAGATGGATTGGAAAAAAAAAGGATTCCCAAGTCTTACAAGTAGTGCATTTGGTAATATATTATTTGGAACACACATTTTTAAAAGGGTGTGGTTTGTATAGAGCCTAGGCTCTAAACATTCAAATTAGAGCCTACCTTCAAATAGTATCGAGAAATGTGGTTTCAATACTGAAAATCTTTGTGATAGCCTTTAACTATATTTTTATATTTATTCATAAAGTTTAAAGCTTAAAAAATAACATAGATTGACATATATATGAACACTTGAAAATATTGAAAATTGAAGCTAAAAAAATGCGTTACAAAATACACTATTTTCAAAACTTGAAATCCATTTTTTTTCTCATATCCATGCATCTTTTGAGCATCAAAACAACCTCTTCTAGTGAAAGTTTTGAGAAAGGCTCAAATTTGATTGTTCAAAGCCTCGGCTCTACATAAACTTTTTCCAGTATTTATAAACGTGATTTGCACCTTTTTTTATGCTTTCATGAATAGAAGTTGAAATAGATTTCAAGTCATCATGATGGGTTGGTGATATAAAATCAACCCTAATAATTTCAAAAAAAAGATATAAATCAACCCTAATAATTTAAAAAAAAAGATATAAAATCAACCCTAATGAATTTCTCTCATTATTTGAGAGTATTTTGCAAGTTATAACCATAATCGCCAGCCAAATAGGGGTGCTTTTGGACTAAGTATGTCCTGGGCAGAGGGAGAGAGGGCGGTAGAGAGATTGGTTGGTGAAGTGCAGGGATGAAGGGGGCGGGTAGGAAAAAAATGAAGAAGGCACTCACAAAATTTAATGGCTAGGGTAACAGTAGTTAAGTCTTTAAAACATTTATTTATTCTACTAGTATAGAAGTAAAAAAAAACAATAATTGAGTTACATATTTGATACTAAAAATATGGGAGCATACTTGAAATTTCATTTTAGGGCTATCCATAATTTTCCCTTGTTAAAGTTTTTATGTCCCATTCAAACTCTTTCCACAGTGATCTCCTTTATTTCTTGTCTCCACAGACTTCTTCCTCTCCTGAAAACGAAAGCAATAACCTTTTCCTGCAACTGTTTCTTCACGAGGACAACATGCATAACAACAAACAAACTACGTGCATGCCCAATCAAAACATATGTCCTTTCAAAGCATCATTTATTAGTACAAAAAAAAATATGTCCTTTCAAAGCATCATTTATTAGTACAAAAAAAAAGAGCCTCCTAGGAAATAAAATGCTCAATCTCATCTTGTGATGAATAATAATAGATAATAAATTGATTAATGTGGTTTATATAAACGGTCAACCTTAATTCGCACTTTTAAACCTTGTTGAAAGATGCAGTTTTGGCATCAAAAATCTCAATTTCATGCTTACAAGGTGAATAGGAATAGAGAATCATCAATCTTAAACTATTATAGGAAGGCGAACTTCCAAATCCTGTTGGAAGATGTTTCGATGCGAGATTCCTATGGTAGCCTGAAAAACTATTTTTTTTTTGTCTCAAATCAGCGAAGTTTGGTGCATCCTTGTTCATTTTGTCTTTTTTTTAATGCTGTAATCGATGCTACCCAAGCAACCATCCAATAAAAGTTCTTGATATTTATTAAAACAAAACAACGTACATCGAGAAGATCTATAACTATTTGAAAATCTTAAAACTACTTGTCTCTAATTATGAAACTTAATGCTTCAAGATCTACAACCACTTGAAAATGTTAAAAATGGATGTCAATTTGACAATTTTTAAACATTTTTCGATACATTTTTGAAATGCACCCTACTTCCAAGGCTTTATATAAAGGGAAAAGTTTATATAAGACTGCACCTAAAAAATCCTTCGGAGAATGTTGTGCCAATGTTGAAAAACCCTCTCATCGATCATCTCGACATCGATATGTACGAATATGAAAAAAAAAAAAATAGGTTGAGTCCTAAAAATAGTGCATCTTGCAATACATTATCTAGACCATCCATTTTTAATATTTTCATATGTTTATAGATTTACTTGATTTTAACCATTCTTAGATTTTTAAAATTTTATAATAAGATATGAAAATAGATTTTCAGACAATCCTAAAAACCTTTTATATCAAAATTACATGTTATAATAAAATTTGTAGGTGCGCCTTAATTTGAAGGTTGAAGGTCCACACCCTTATATAAACTATTTTCCAAATTATTTTCACTAGTTTGAAAACCGGTAGACAAGTTCAACTCAAGGCACACAGATAACAAAGTTAAAACCCGATGCTGAAACCCCCAAATCCCCATTTGTATTCCTTGTCAAATCCATCACCACTGTGGCATTTATAACCACATAATCCCTATCTCCATATTTACTCCTTGTATAAATTAGCAACTACACCACATTATACCCACCTTACAAAACCATAAACCAAAAGAAAATAAAAAGGATAGCATAACAATTAGACCATGTAATTTTGTTACAAGAAAAAGTCACAATCATACTTAGCCGTCAGATATGAAACCGGTAGTTGTGTCAATAAATACGCTTGAAGTATTGTGCAAGAAAATGGCACACTCAAGCATAAAGAGAAATGACATGCCCGACCCGACAGACTAAAGATGATTATAACCCTGTGTGTACAAAAAATGATAATCCCATTGTAAATGCAATCCTAGGCCCAGAGTCCTCATGAAATTAAGGGCAAAATGTAACGACATAGTCCGAACCGGTACACGTGCGAGTACTTGATTCATCATCGTAGGCGTAACTATACGCATCAGGACAGGCGGTCTTGAAAATTTGAGAGTACTTGGTTGGTTTGCATGTGGTTGGAGAACCATACGCACCCGTGCAACAATACTCTGGTGTATTGAACGCCATACACGCACTCTTGCATGCAACTGTTTGACCACTTTGCCCCTTCAACACCAACTCCGTTGGGCATGTTGTCCTTAGATCGGCGGTGCAACCTGAGTGTACCGTTATTTCAAAAAAGGCATAATGTCATAACGGGTGTCGCAGAGTATATTATTGTGTGATGGTGAGAGCCGTTATAATGGGAAAAGGGTGAAATATAAGGATAATCGAATTGTTTTTACTATCTTTTTTTATAAACAAAAGTGACAATTTGTTAAATTTCATAGGTGATTTAACGAAGACTTATTCAAGATCATTTCTCTTGGGATGGGATGAGACTGGGCTCTCAGATTGGGATCAACTTTAATTGATAGATAGAAATTAATGGAGGAAGTTCGTTTGCCTTATGATGAGGGATTTGTGGTATGTTGTAGTTTTACGGATTTTATAGTGAAATTTGGGGGAGAATGGTTGGATTTTGGCTAGAAAGTCGGCAAAATAGGCTGGAATATGGTGGTGGGTTTCTTTTTTTTTATTACTGTAACCTGGAGCCCATCGTCACCTCTTATAGTTTTCCTGCAAGCGTGATCAGGGTAGTGTAGTTTACCGGCGAGTAGGTGAGAGGGGAGATAGAGAGAGAGGGGGGTTTGGGAGGTTGATCAGGGGAGAGAGAAAGAGAATCATGTCAAGAGAGAGAGGGGTTTAGAAGCAATGTATTTTTTAAATTTGTTTGGGTAAAAAAAATTAGTAAAAAATGAATAAAATATGCTTAAGGGGTTAGGAGATATAATAGAGTGAATGGCTATGTAGTAAGATAGGTTTTGCAACCTGAGGTCAATGGAGAAATGAAAGTTGAAAATAGGGTCTATAGAGATATTTTCGCCTTTATTTTGTGTACATGGAGGCTATAATCATTTTCACTTATTAAATGTCAAATTGGATGAGTTGGGTTGAAGCACAAAGTCCAATATATATTTTTTGAACTATCTTTATGGAAAAATATACAATGAGATCATTTATCTTTGGTACAAGGTGGTCACAATTAATCTTGACCATTGAATGTGAACTTGGGTGGCTATATTTATTACATTGACCAAGCTTAAAGTTCAAAAGAAATTTTGTCGAATATTGTGACACACCAAAACTAACTGATTTCATATCGGATTTATATAGAGCCGAGACTCTAAACAATCAAATTTGAGCCTACCTCAAAAATTTTACTAAAAGAGGTTGTTTTGATGCTCAAATATCTTCAAATTGAGCATCTCGACATCAAGATGCATAGACATGAGAAAAAAAATGGATTGCAAGTTTTGGAGATAGTGTATTTTGTATCACATTTTTGGACCATCAATTTCCAAAATTTTGAAATTTTGATAGATATGTCGATGTACACTATTTTTGAATTTTAAAAATTTATAAATAAATACAAAAAATATATTTTAAGGCTATCACAAAAATTTCCAATATTGAAATCACATTTCTCAACACTATTTGAAAGTAGGCTCTAAATTAATTGTTTAGAGCCTAGGCTCTATACAAACCGCACCCAATAAGTAATTGTGACCTTGTATAAAAGGTAAATGCTCTCATTGTATACAATCCCCTATAGTTATTCAATTAAATTTTTATAACCACACATTTTGAAATTTAAATGATAAGAATGATTGTGACCTCTATGTACAAAAGATAAATGGTTTCTTTATAGACAACCCTTTTAATAAATGAATTGAGACATCAATTTGCTCATTAAACCACATTAGAACTCCCATTATAAAAAGGGATTAGAGACCATAAGGTCATTTACTACCTTAGTCATTATGTATAAAATCTTAGGAAACCTTGCAGCTTGGGGTGTGTCATAAATTTTTTTTTTTTTAGGGTATTTTGAATTTTATCAATGCCTTAGATCCAATGGACCGATTTCACAAATAATCTTATTGTATATGGTTCATCCACAAATAGCCTTTTAATCTATATTTTAGAAAATAACTACATATATACTTTCTAGGCAAATTATAATAAAGTTTTAAAAAATAAGTCAGTCTCAAAAAATATAATGGAAATGGTTCTCATCAATTTGTCAATGGTCATTTCTCACCTCATGCTTAATCCCATAATAAAAAATTTAAATGGGACTTTATACAATTATACCATTTACCTATATAGAGGTCACAATTACTTATAACCGGCCGATTCACAAAGTTCGAAAAAATATATTTTGAACTTTGAGCTTAGTCAATGAAATAAATACAATCACCTAATTTCATATCCAATTGTCAAGATTAATTGTACCCAATTTCATATCCAATTATCAAAATTAATTGTGATTACCAACAGTAAATAGTTAAATTGTGTATTTCCCCAATTTAAATACTTGTTTTCACTTGTGGTCATTTCAAAATTTCAAAAATCTCTTTCACGATCAAAATGGTTTTTCTAACGCTATAACAGCTATCATAACGGTGATATCGACCTTTTTTAAAAAAGAAACTTTTTTACCTGCATATTGACAATTCCCAGTGCCATGAACTGCGTTCACACCCATGGGAAGATTGTACCCATCGACGAGGCTAACATCGTAAAAATCCATATTCCCGATGGTAAATTCGGCAAGAGTGACCGGCGGCTGGCCTCCGGCATTGGGATTGCATTGAAGAGAACCACAGTCGCCGGTGTCGCATTTTCCTGCCCCTGAGGCATCGAAACTGCAATCCGTGCGGCCCCAAATGCGGCCAGACCAGCCGGTGGGAGCGGAGAGAGAGGTGCTGGCGCCAGACGCGAGATAGAAGCCACCAGCCGGAGTGATGGTGCCGGCGCCGGAGAGGGTGGCAGGCCACACCCCGTAACCGCATTTGTTTACGATGTTAAAGTTGGCGGCCGAGGCTGTAGAGGAAATTAGAATATGGGTTAGAGAGAGACAACTGTGGTTTAGAGAGAGGTTTTGGGTGAGTTATTCAGTAACTTAAGGAAAGAACGTGGGTTAGAGGGAGAGAGAAACTAAAATTGTGGAGAGGGAAAGAACGTGGTTAAAGAACTGTAACTTGCGTTCATGAGAGAAAGAGAGAGAGGGAGAAACTAAAATTGTGGAGAGGGAAAGAACGTGATTTGGAGAGAGAAAGAACTGTAACTTGCGTTCATGAGAGAAAGAGAGAGAGGGAGGGACAGAGACATTAAAGTTCAATGTGACTCTGTGATCGAGAGAGCCTTACAATGTGTGTGAGTAATGGAGAGAAGAGAGAGAGACTTACCCATTGAGGCAGTTAGGAATAACACAAAGACTTGAAGGATCGCCATTATAGAGAGAAAGAGAGGGGGTCTCTTCTGCTGATATGACGTTGAACCAGTAAGCAGGCCAGAGAGAGAGAGAGAGAGAGAAAGGTGGTTACAGAGAGAAAAAGAATCAGGAGAAATGGGCTTAGCGTGTACCAGTATTTATGAGGTAGTTTGTGTATGCATTTATTTGGTAACAAAGATATTCGCTCTTACCCCATTGCCAAGCCATAAAACAACCCTAATTTTAGCCTCGGAATGCATGCCAAAAATTCAATCTTATTCTCAGATATTAACAAATACGTGCGACTCAATAATAAATGATATCAACTGCTTACCATTTATGATTAATTTTTTATAAATTAACCTTTTCTTAATTATAGAAACAAATTCCTGGCCTTGCCCCCGAAATCCAGTAATTAACAACTCACGTTTTTCAGGGTTATTTTTGGAAATTCAACTCCCCTCGAATTCTCAAATAAAGGCCTGTTACGTAATTTACGAAACATTGGATATTTTGGTCATTTCCCTCCCGCAAAGTATACCGCTGAAGCCGACTGCTCACCATCGCACACTTTCTAGGGTCCGATGTTCCCACCCTACCAACAAAAAAAAAAATTAAAAAAATAAAATACGGTTTTATGATGAAATCCTCATGCAGAAAAGCAATTTAAAAAAATTAAAAAAATACAAGTTAATTGTAATTTCTACCTATAATCAAATCATTTCGTATTTTGAGTAATTATTTTGAACTTGTATGTAATTTATTTTTTTTATTTTTTAAATGCTTTTAATTTCTTTTACGGTTTAATGATGGATTCCTCAAGTCGAGGGATAATTTTAGAAAAAATATAAAAATACAGATTAATTGTAATTTTTACCTATAATCAAATCATTTCGTATTTTATGTAATTATTTTGAGCCTATACGTAATTTACTCTTTCTATTTCTAATTGCTTTCAATTTCTTCTCAATTTTTTTTTTATAGTTAATTTCTTCTGTTTTACCGATTCCTCTACGTTGGACGGCCGAAATTTAGAATCCGAGCTAGATTGCATCGGGACCGTCACACGTGGAGTTAACAACTCAACGGCTTAAAAGCTGCCTACGACAGTGACGCCAAACGTGCTACTCGTGTGTGACGTTGGTCAGGCACGTGCCAAACTCAATAGAGAGAGAGGGAGGGGTATCCGATGGGTTGGTCAGAGAGAGGGAAGCAGGAGAGAGAGTGAGAGTGGTTTGGATCATAGTTAATAATATTTTGATAAATCATTATCGGTTTTGTTTCAAGAAGTCGGAGGTAAAAAATACAAAACGCCGTGAAAAAAAATCGGTTATGTAAAGGCGACACATGTTAAGATTATGATTCATAGGTTTTTGTTGGTAAGACAATGGGGAAGAAGGCTCCCTACCTATTTTTCATTAATAATGAAAAAAAAGTATAGTTCATATTTATATTTATTACATAAATATATTAAAGCTATTGGACAATAATTTTATCTCTTTACTTAGAATCATAAGGGTAACACAAACAAATTTTGATCTAAATTGTCAAAAAATATAACAGCAATGCTTACTCTATTTTCACAATATAGATTTATTGGCAGTATATAAATGCAATAATTCGATCAGTAAACACCAGAACGGTAACCCAATGTATAACGTTATTGTTAGAAATAAAAAACATGAAAGACCCTCATTATGGGATTGCAATTAACTAAAATTCAGAAAACCAAAATTGTAAAATAGTGCTACATCCAAAATTCTTTCTTTTACACCATTGATATAACAAAAAAGTTTGAAAATATGAAATTAATGAAACTTTTATATGTATAAAAAAAAGCAATAAAATGTTTAATCAAATCTAAATACTCCAATATCACCTTGAATTCCTAGCTGTCTAAATTTTTAGTTGTCTTTTATATGTCTTGCTCTTTGTATTGTTGCTATGGGTTTAGAGAAAAAGTAGATTTCCTATTGGGCTACTCTTCCTTAAACTGTACCTATTGTTTTAAGATATATGATTGATAGATTATTTTTTGGGGAATATATTGCTCGTGGTTTTTTTAATAAACTTTTTTTGAAAAAGTTTTTTATGAAATTTTTGTTAAATCAATATTCTTAATTTAGTCCTACTTTAATATGTTTATCTCTAGACCAAAATTTTAAGATATTAAATAAATGAAGAAAATAAAAATTTCAATAAAGTGATATAGAAGAAAACTTCTTAAAAAGTGTTTTCGAAAAATATAAAATACATATTTATATATGTTTTGTTAAAAAAATATGATTTTTTGAAGATCTTTCGAAAAACTCATTTACAGTCTTTAATAAATTTCATCAAATACCCCCAACAAAAAATAAATAAAAAAAATACCTAAACTACCCTCCCTTACTTTTGCCTTACCTATCTCTCTCACCTCTATCCTGCCAAAATAAGGGCCGTAGCATTGTACAAGTATGGTCAGGCAGTAGGGCTCCGACACTGCGTAAAGGGCAGTCCGGTAGTAGGACTCTGGTACTGTGTAAAGTGCGATCCGACAATAGGGCACCGGCACTGTATAAAGTGTGGTTCGGCAGTTGCACAAGCAGTCTGGCAGTTGCAAAGGGCGGTTCGGCAATAGTAAGTTGCAAAGGGCGGTTCGGCAATAGATGTTACTGGATTCCAGGCTCTGGCACTATGTAAAGGGCGGTTCGGCAGTACTCAATTTCAGTCCAGTAATTGTCTTAGGGCGGTCCGGCACTTGTACGCTCCGACAATGTGATGATGCGCTTCGGCAATGTGATGATGCTCTCCGGCAATGTGTCATTGGGGGTCCAAAAGTCAATGTTAAATATTGCCAAAATGATTTTTATGTTCGAGAAGGGCATTTACGCCTAAAAAAAATGAACTTTTTCCTTTTGGGGGTATTTATATAAAAAGTTTATTTTACGGGAAAAAATGAGACAAAAAGTTGCACTGGGGGTAAGATGCATAGAAAATGTTGTCTTGGGTTTTGTTTTGTCATTGTCCACTAAGATTGAATGGAGACAATTGAAGTGCAAAGCTGTCTGTTCCTCTTTCTCCCTTTATATACTGTTAGTCTTTTGCCCAAGGGGTAAGTAGGCTGTCTTTTCCTTTTTTTTTCTCTTCATGTATAATTATTATTTGCCTTGTTATATTTAAAAGTTGAAAGAACAATTAGACCGGTCATGACTAGGTAACACATTACAGGAAATTGAAATGTTATTGTTGAGTTATATATTGTGTGTGTGGAAAAATAAATAGCCCCGTCACATTTAAATTTCCAATCACCCTTTTTTTTTTTTTTCTATTTTTTTTGAAACCTCACAATTTATTGTATTTTCCTAAATTATGATCTATTTATAATTGTTATCTAAATCCAATAATAAATTTTCAAAAAATCATATCCATCTTTTCTTAAGAAAATTGGAAGCTTACTAATAATTATCTCAGTAGCTGATCGCAAATAATTAGAATAAAGCTTGGATGATTATGATGATGATTAATAATTATCTAGGTAAATTTTAGTTACCAATTTTTTATTCAATGTTATAGATGCATATATTTATTCTAATAATACATAATGTCATAATAAATTTATATACAAGGTGTGGTTTGAATAAGGTTTCAACCTTCAACAATCAAAGGAAGGGCATATGCGTAATAAGGTAGATAGATTTATAAACATTTAAATTTTTTGAAGAATCAACAATCTATATAATATGTTATAAGATATACAATAATTATCAACGTTGAGATGATAAGTCGTATGGCTTTCAATGTCGAAGAGGCTGGGTTTCATAGCACTACGTCTCAAGTTCCACTTCTATGTGACTTTGTCAAAAAAATAAACTACATTTTTGTGGTGGATTTTTCAGGTGCACTATATTTCTGCAATATAAAGTTGACACCTTGTATAAATTATTCCACATATAAATTAGAAAAGTCCCCAATTACTTGAGAAAATGCTATGATGATGATGATATAAATTGGTAAAGTGTTAAGGGCATTATTGGTAAAGGGACAGGCTCTGACACAAATACATCCATGAATCGCATATAGTATTGTAAATTGTGTTAGATTTTTGCTGGTGATCTCCAATGTCCAATATAAATGCAAGTCAATTATGATCGTTAACTGCAAGTCAATTATGGTCATGTTCGACTTCTGGAATGCATTGATGATTCGCCTACAGTAGTGTAAATTGTGTTAGATTTTTGCGAGTGATCTCTAATGTCCAATATAAATGCAAGTCAATTACGATCGTGTTCGACTTTTGGAATGCATCCATGATTCGCTTACATTAGTGTAAATTGTGTCAGATTTTTGCTGGTGATCTCTAATGTCCAATATAAGATGATCCGCTTACAGTAGTGTAATTGTGTTTGATTTTTGCTGGTGATCTCTAACGTCCAATATAAGTGCAAGTCAATTATGAACGTGCTCGACTTCTGGAATGCATCCATGATTCGCCTACAGTAGTGCAAATTGTGTCAGATTTTTATGGGTGATCTCAAATGTCCAATATAAATACAAGTCAATTATGATCGTGTTTGACTTTTGGAATGCATCCATGATTTACCTAAAATGGAGTAAATTGTGTTAGATTTTTGCGAGTGGTCTCCAGTGTCCAATATAACACTTACGATTATGTTTTACGTTTGGACACGATCTCCAATGTCCAACATAAATGGGACATCGATGTAGGAGGGATACAGTCCAATAACCACACCTGATCCATAAAAAACGGATAAATACACATTATTAATAAATATGAATTATTATTCTTATTACATAATTAAGGAAACTTTATTAAAATACCTATCATAGATAAATTGTTTAGTGCTAGTTTGGATGTACTCAAAATTGAAATATTTTAGAATTGCAATCCAAAAATCTTATGAAACCGACTTTGAACAGTTTGGATAACCGCACAATTTTATTAGATTTTTAGATTGAAAGAAAAAATACAGTCGTATCAAGATAAAAGTTATCGTTAAAAAACGTTCAAATTAGACTTGAATTTTTTCGGATGAAAGTGCAACCTTCTCTCACCCGTGCAAACCCCACACTCGGCTTTCTCGCTATTTACCCCAGACCCTCCTCTCCTGCTCTCTCTCTAATTGCAAACCAAAAACCCAACTCTCTCTCTCTAGCACACTGCTACCCAACTCTCTTGCTCTCTCTATCTCTCTAAGAAGCTCCTCTGGTGCTGCTAATGGTGGTGTCTGTAATGGAATCGTTGTCAGAGAAGAGGCCCGGTCTCGACAGTTTGATAATTCGGCCATTGGAGCAGCAAGGGTTTCCTGCCCAAGAAGAGCAGCAATCAGTAGAGGAGTTCCATGAGGTGGGAAGGCCGGAGGGATCGGAGGTGATGGTGGCTTTAAAGTTCAAAAGGGTTCTCTCTCGACTTCGTGGCAAGGTATAACAGAAGGTGGGGTGGCTCGGAAGAAGAGGATGAGGAGGAGAGAGAGGAAATGATGGGATGCCATGAATTCAGGTGGGTAATGGAGCCTGGAGGCTGGATGAATAGGAGGTTTATGTAGTGGGTGGTTGCTCTGAAGAGAGAGAGTGTGTTTCTGATGGTATGAAAGAGAGAGAATTTGTGATGGTAGGAAAATGAGTTAGAGAGAGAGAGAGAGGAGGGAGATAGGTCCCGATGATGGTGGGAAGTTACATTTCATAGCATGGGATGTGGATGATAATTACATATGATTTGGCACCAAGCATCCGTATCGATTGGAATCCATGATTGATTCAGGGCCTCCGTCTTTCGACAATCATGTTCAATGGTTCTTTTGGTTCTATCTCAATGAGAGTCCACATTTCATCATAACCCGAAGCTAGAAACCCTACTTTTTCATCAAAAAATTCTTTTTATTTGTAGAGAACCCTAATGTTCCTAAAAAATAACACAAACCTCAAATTTACAGAGATGGTCAAGTTCTCGCAAAAAACCCTATGGTTCATCAAAATCAACAGCCTTACATTTGGAACGAGGTTAAGCATAATACACTAAACCAAAATGTACTAAGAGAGAAAAGAGACCAAGATATGTAATAGGGGAGGAGGGAGAAACCATTTGGTGATGCAAGGGATTTGTGATAAAGAAATACCAATCTATAGTGAGGGTTAAAATAAAATACTTATATAAAACCCAAACGAGTTAAAAGAATAGAAAAAAAGCTTTGTATTTTTTTAATTGGCATTTAAAAAACTTACAATTTTTATGAATAACAAATTCTTTTTATTTGACATCGAATGTGGCCCTTAATTTTTTATCTATATCTTTTTATATATTTCAAAATACCTTTAAAAAAAATACATGGCATTGAGCAAAATAATTGAGAAAGGGTAAACTCTTAAATCTTTAAACATTCAGTTGCATATTTTACTAATTTGCTAATTTCATAGGTTAAATGTAAGAAAATTTCAAAGAGATTTCCAATAAAATAAAATGCATTTACGAAATATCATAAAGCACATCATATCCAGAAAAAAAAAGGGCGTTCTGGTCATTTTGGCAAATCCGAGGGACCATTCATCACTTTGGTGCGCCTCTATTCGACGCAGAATATTTCCAGAAAGGAGCTTCGAGTGTCTTATTAAAACCCTAAACCTAGCCAAATCAATAAATACCCCTTCCTCTTTTTAGTCCGTCTCCCGTTTATTGTGGTCGAAGTTAGGGTTTGGGTGGCGATTTACTCTTCTGCATATTTCTTTGCTCACATGTGTCGACCATGCCTCGCCGAAGCTCTGGAGGTTTGAGTTGTCGTTCTGTTTTTATGCTTGATTTCTAGTTTATGCAGGGTTATTTTCTTATATTGATAGTCAGGTTTCCATTTGTTTTTGGGTCTTATTTGATTGTCAGATTTCGATTTCTTCTTATCCATATTTTCGAGGCTTATTTGGTTTGGATTGTTGTATTTAATGACTGATTTTTCTATTTCTTAGGATTAGATGGCTAATATTGACAGTCGGGTTATCATTTTTCATGTATTATCTATGGGTTTATGGGGTTTCCTGTGTTGGAATATGTTACACTTCACATCTGTTACCTACTGACTTTCTCTGTTCTTTCTTATATCTATTTTCAATTGTGGTTTGTTTTATTTTTTTATTTCTCTCCTGTACCACAATTTCGGGGTAGGGGCGAAAAAAACATTCATTGGCCCAGGTGTTCTTCTCTCAACACTACCAACATTATGAGTACCCCTTTGTTGCATAGCAACTTCAGAGATATCATCATCATCAAATAATTGCATATGAAGTAATTCTTTTCTTTTCATTTTTTTCTTCTCTTTATCTTTTTTCAATCCATCCAAATATTCTCTAATTTCATTTCTTATATCATCTGTAGCTTGTGGGCATGCTCTTACATCCCCATAAATTTTGGCTAAATGCTCTTTTTGTCGAAAAATACCAACCATATAAGTATTTCCTCAGAGCATGCATATCACACAATTTCTATCTTCTGGATTTTTTAGTTTTGCGTATTTCCTTATTACTAGAACCTTGGGAAGAAGACATTGTCCCAAAAATAAGTATAATAGTATTATTGTACAAGAAGGAATAAAAATTTACCGTTTCTGTGAAGCAATGCTGGATTTCTTCACAGCCTCTGAAACCCCCGACTTCTTATCACAAATTCACCGTAACATCCCCCAATCAACAATCAAAGGCATCAAATGACCATTAACAATCGCCAAATCGAAGATTTGAATGAAAATAAAGCCACAAAAGTGGCTGGAAATCTTCGTTTAGGGAGTTTAATAACCCCCAAACAGTTTCCCTAAGTTTTGGATGGTCCAAAAGACCATTTTGTCCCTCCATGAGGGGCAAAATCGAAAAAAGAATTGGCGTAAGGAGATGCTCTGCGCTGCGATGCGGGATGTGGCCTGATGCGGCTGCATAAGTAAAAAATGCATATGCGCCAGTATGCGATGCGGAGGGGACCACATACCGTATGATGCGGCCGCATATGCGGCGATACGGTCACATTTTAAAACCATGCCCGGCGCTCGCCTAGGAGCTGGGCGGCCTGGACCCGCCTAGCGCTTTTTGAAATACTGTTAACATCTAATGATCAATTATCACTGTGACCCCTCCTCATACCCAAAGTAAATGGTCTTGTTACATACATTTTCATTCATATCTATGTATGTATAGATGTATATGTGTGTGTATTGGTGTTGTGTATTTTTCAGACAATTCTTCACACCCTGTATCACCAAACTTATCTGGCATAAAGGTTTATTAAAAAGAAGTAGGGAACCAAAAGGTGGATTTCGTCGACCGAAAGGAGGATTTCATCCCAAAGTTAGAAGAAGATTAATTATATCCACTTGTTCAAGTTGGATGAAGCTTTCCTGGAGAAGCCCCAAACTGTTCAGAGACAAGAATAGATTCTTCTAGGAGGCTATATCATATAGAAACAAGAGTTAGACTTGGATTAGAGATGGGATTGAGATGCCCCTGTAATGGATAGAAAGTAAATTCAGAAGGATGTGGTGCATAATGTGCCATTTGGCTACTCATAGCATAAAAATTGATTTGGTAGTCAGCATTTGACTACTCATGGTATTCAGCCGATACCAATTAGTTGGGAAAATGCTCAATTCGTTGGGAAAAGGTTTTGACGATGATGATTCAGTTTGGGAAGAGATAGCATAAGATGGCCAGATGATTTCTCATTGGCTTTATTCCAAGACTATCTAAGACTAGTAAATAAGTTTTTGGCATGTCCAATGAATGCCGTGAGAAAAATGCTAAAAAATCACAAGCACTGATTGTCTTGAAAAGACACCTCGTTTTATCCAAATAAAATTGATAGACTTAGATAGTCTTTATTCCAAGACTTTCTAAGACTAGTAAATAAGTTTTTGGCATGTCAAATGAATGCCGCGAGAAAAATGCTAAAAAAGTCACAAGCAGTTGAAACAATTGATTGTCTTGAAAAGATAGACCTTGTTTCTATATCTTGTAGAAACAAGAGTTAGGCCTGGATTAGATGGGATTGAGCTGCCCCTCTAATGGATAGAAAAGAAATTCAAGAGGATGTGGTGCATAAGGCGCCATTTGGCTACTCATGGCATAAAAATTGATGCAGTAGTCAGCATTACACTACTCATGGTATTCAACCGACCCCAATTAGTTGGGAAAAGGCTCTGACGATGATGATTCAGTTTGGGGAGAGATTTAACATGGTCAGATGATTTCTCATTAGCTTTATTTCAAGACTAGTAAATAAGTTTTTGGTATGTCAAATGAATGCCGCAAGAAAAATGCTCAAAAATTACAAGCAGTTGAAATAACAAATAGAAAAAGGTGTAAATTCGTGAATTATATCCAGAACAATTTATAAAGGGTCTCTCTTCTTTCAGTTACACTATTTTTCACAAAAGCTTTCATTTTCATGTGATACCATCTTACAATTAGATAGTTAAATCATCGTATAGTTAAGATACAATAATTTATGACATATACAAAGATGTTGATAAAGAGAGAAAAATGCAAGAAACTACATGATAGGAATAGAGTGACGAAATGAAAATGAAAACAATAATTAATTACAATGGGTTCCCTAAAGAAGAAAATAATGGCAACAATAATTTACTGTATTTGGCTTCCCAAAACATGAAAGAATTTCCTAACATGGAAATTAATAAATAAGATGCTCAAGTTTTTTATCCCATTTGATTTTATCATAGAAATGTATAAAATTCATAATACTCAGTTATACATAAACACTCTTCATAGGCAATTTCAAAATATAACAATCCTTGCTAAATAGGCCATCCTATCAAAATAGGTATTTACACAATATCCCAAATCATACAAATATCAATAGAAGAATACAAGAACAAAAACAAGAATACCAGAACAAACAAAAAGTTAACTGCGACAACCATTCTTATAATGAGCATGGTTGCATGAGTACACAAAGAACATAATAGCACATTCAAGTAATTGGTCAACGGGATCTCCACAATATAGTGAGCTTAAAAGAAAACCAACATCGTAATAGCTCCTTAAGTTTTTACTTGTGTTGTTGGTTCAAATAAATAATTGTTAAGTGCTTTGAGATTTTGGCCACCAATGATGACTCCTGTCAGTTCTCACACTTTTGTCACTTTATACAGGTTTATCATGTCCCACCTAGTTATCCAATCTTCCTTTTCATCGATTTCATGGTGATAGACTACAAAATAGAACTAACTAATTATCTGATTTTAGTATTTTACCCATGATGTCTATGTGCAACAATGATAAGATATTATCCCTAGTGGCCTAGTCAATCGGATATAGAGAATCTCTTACACAAGGAGCAAAAAAATTATGGAGATCAGAGCACGAGAAGTAGCCACGAGTATCTTCTTTTGGAGCGACAAATGCTTCCTAATTTTCGTTCATATTTGAAGGATGAAAACCTTAGGGGGGCTCCCAAGAAGAAAGAAGATCAAGAAATAGTTTGGGTGTTTATTTTTAGTTATAATTGCTGAAATACTTAGAGACTTTTAGATATTTTAATTAAAGTTAGGAAGTGGGACTTCTAAATATTTTTATTAAAGTTAGGAAGTGTAGTTTCAAGTTATATTTACATTAGGACTTTTTGGTCAAAAGTTATATTGTATGGATAGAGATTGTACAAAATAAAAATAAATCAATATAAATAAATGCATGTGTGGGGTTGGAGAGTCATTCATATATTCTTCTTTAAGGGTGTGTTTGACACATGGAGTTTTTGGGAGTGGAAGGGACTCTCCCACAAATTATGGAAGATTGAGAGGTCTTCCAAAAATAAACCCATCTTAACACTACAAAAAAGTTGCATGGAAGGTCGCCCTTCCACTTTACAACTTTCACACGATAATATCAAACATGGAAGTGGGACATTTAGCTCTCACTTCCAAAAACTTCCACTTATCAAACACGCCATGCCCTAAGAAAAGAAAGACTTTTTCTTGTCTAAGGCTTGAGGCCTAGGTAGGAGAAAATCCTAGGGTGTCTTCAAAATTGCTTGTGTCAAGGTGCTTTTGGCTGTTTTTCTCTGTTTCTTCAAGTTTTTCTGCGTCAGAAGTCGATGGATGTGTTAAACCTATTGAGAAGATATCAAACTTCCACCTCCATAGAACCTTAACTCAAGTTAGCCTGTCGTATTGTTCACATAGATTTTCAAAGAGCTACCATTAAAATTGAGCACAAACATTCCATCAGGTGGGTGGCTCCCCATTTTCATTGTTCAAATGAGAAAAATCTGCTTTATAAGGAATCAATACTTGAGGAGAATATCTTTCACTTTTATATTCTTCGAAAATATCCTCATTCTTTGGTGACTGTTGGGAATAATGCAATTGGATGTAAATGAGTCTTGTACACTACCTGCGTTGGTTAAATGTATGGGCTTGAATTGTACCCATACCAAAACTTCATTTGAATAAATAGAGTGAAACTATGCAAATCCATGATCAACACAAATTCTCCATAAGATCCAAACTTTCGAAGTTGAAACAAATAAGAACCACGTCAACGTGCATCCATGCAATCTCTCAATTGACTTGTTTACTAAACAAAAGTATCCTACAAGACCCATCTAAGTCGTGTGAAATTTGTCACTCAGAGAAATCGTGGAAGTAAAAGGGCCCACATCAATGAGATTTGAACCATGAAGGCATATATCTTCTTCCATAGCTGTTCTTTTCGGAGTATTTCTTTCGCTTTTTAGGGTTTGCTTACTTTGAATCTGATCTTAAATAAAACCCAGGGATAAGAATCAGAACAAATAGTACCTTGTGTTAAATAAAGACACGCCTTGTCTAATCCCTTGTTGAAAATATGTACAAATTATGACAAAAATAACAATTTAATATCATTAGTATGCATTAGAAGACATGACAGTGCTTGTCTAGATTACAAATTTGATCCCTTTAAGTTTATCTAATATAAAGATCCCATATAGGAACTGATCAACTTCATAGCAATTATTTGTAAAAAATCCCAGAAGCAAAGAGAAGTAGACATTGTAGGATAACATTTACAATATTTTACCTACAATTATGAGAGAATAATCATTAAAACATTTACTAAATTGACGTTTATGTTTGGCAGAAACCATCTTAGAGCAAACTAGAGGGATTAGGAAGAGTGCGATAGCACATTAGAAGCAAACTATAATCACAATAGACACCTTAACCTTAATATGTTGCCAATTTGTTTTAAGCCTTCCAACCCCAAGAAGTTATTATCAAGAGGTTTTCAACTTGCTGCCAATTTGTTTTAGGCCTTCCAACCTCAAAATGTTATTATAAGGCATAAAACCAAAAGGTTTAGATAAATGAATTATCTTTATGAAAATCTAGTAAATTATTTTAAACTATTCTTGAAGTGATGTTTCCACTTATTACAATGAGGCAGTTCTCGTTACCATTAAGAAGGACTAATGAAGAACTTACCTGAATTTTCAATGGCTTGAAGAGATAGTGCAAACCGTGGCTTCAAATTGGGGCTATTGCTTGAAGAAACAGAGCAATAGCAAGAGAGAAAATTGGGGCTACTTCTTGAAGAAAAAGAGTAATAGCAAGAGAGAGACTAGTTGCAAAGAGAGAGGGAGGAGAGAGAAGAAACTGTTTGAAGAAAAAGAGCTATAGCAGGTGCAAGAGAGAGACTAGTTGCAAAGAGAGAGGGAGGAGAGAGAAGAAATTGCTTGAAGAAAAAGAGCTATAGCAAGTGAGAGACTAGTTGCAGAGAGAGGGAGAAAATAAACAGAACAGAGAGATATATAGAAAGGTTCAACTAAAGCTGAATAGTGTTCGGGTGTAGACCTGGACCCGACCCATCGGGCCCAAATGTTGGACCCATACCAGGATCCGTTTGGGTATACCCGACTATTCTTGGGTCGGGTCTAGGTATATTGCCACCCCTACTTATGGTAGCCAAGCCGCTTCTCTCTCTTTCTACCCTTGTCGATCCCCTTTTCTCTCTCTTCCTTTACATCCCCAAGCTCACGGTAACCCATTTTATATATCTCTCTGTTCTGTTTATTCGATCTTTCTCTCTACAACTAGTCTTTCACTTGCTATAGCTTTTTTTTCTTCAAGCAATTTCTTTTCTATCTCTTTCTCCCTCTCTCTTTGCAACTGGTCTCTCTCTTGTTATTGCTTTTTTTTTTCAAGCAGTACCCTCAATTTGAAGCCACGTTTTGCACTATCTCTTCAAGCCATTGAAGATTTTCTTCATTACTCCTTAATGGTATATTGTAATAAAAGGAAATATCTCTTGAAGAATGGTTTAAAACAATTTGCCAGATTTTCGTAAAGATTTAATTCATTTATCTATAACTTTTGGTTTTATGCCTTCTGTCCCAATATACTAAGAGTTTTTTATTTTTTAGTTTTCTTTTCGTATTCCCCTTCTCCGACGATGTTTTACCTCGAGCTTCAGAGAGTTAAAGACTTATTGATAATAATATTTTGAGGTTGGAAGGCTTAAAACGAATTGGAAGCAGGTTAAGGTTAGGGTGTCTATTGTGCATTTTAGTTTGTTTCTAATGTGCTATCGCACTCTTCATAATCCATCTAGTTTACTCGAAGATGTTTTTTACCAGATATAAACGCCAATTTAGAATGTGTTTTAATGATTATTCTCTCATAATTATGGGTAAAATACTGAAAATGTTGTCCTACAATGTCTTTTTTCTCTTTGCTTCTGGGATTTTTTATAAATAGTTGTTATGAAGTTGATCAATTCCTATGTGGGATCTTATAAACTTAATGGGATCAATTTTGTATGCTAGAGGAGCATTGTCATGTCTTCTAATACATACTTATGATATTAAATTGTTATTTTTGTCATAATTTGTATATATTTCACCAGGGGATTAGAAAAGGTGTCTTTATGTAACACAAGGTGGAGTTTGTTCTGATTTTTTTCCCTGGTTTTTATTTAAGAGCAGCTTCGAAGTAAGCAAATCATGAAAGGCGGAAGAAAGAATATGAAAAGAGCAGCTATAGAGAAGCATTGTCATATCTTCTAATACATACTTATGATATTAAATTGTTATTTTTGTCATAATTTGTATATATTTTCACCAGGGGATTAATAAAGGTGTGTCTTTATGTAACACAAGGTGGAGTTTGTTTTGATTTTTCTCCCTGGTTTTTATTTAAGATCAGATTCGAAGTAAGTAAACCATGAAAGGCGGAAGAAAGAATCTGAAAAGAGCAGCTATAGAAAAACATGTATCCCTTCAAGATGGCCAGCGCATAATGCAGGTGGTATCTCTTCGTGGTTCAAATCTCATTGAGGTGGGTTCTTTTACTACCATGATTTCTCTTTTTGTTGAGTGAAAAAATTTCACATGGCATGCCCTCTCAATAAATTTATTTGTTTATTTGTATTTTGGACTTGATGGGTTTTGTAGGATGCTTTTGTTTAGTAAACAAGTCAATTGAGATTACATGGATGCGCATTGTGGTGGTTCTTATTTGTTTCAACTTCGAATATTTGGATCTTACGGAGAATTAGTGTTGATCATGGATTTGCGTAGTTTCACTCCATTTATTTAGATGAATTTTTGGTATGGGTATAATTCAAGCCCATGCATTTAACAATGCATGTAGTGTAGAAGACCCACTTACATCCAATTGCATTATTCCCAGTAGTCCCCAAAGAACGAGGATATTTTCAAAGAATATAAAAGTGAAAGATATTCTCCTCAAGTATTCATTCTTTATAAAGCAGATTTTTCTCATTTGCTTAATGAAAATGTGGAGCCACCCACTTGATTGAATGTTGTTGCTCAATTTTAATGGTAGCTCTTTTGAAATCTGTGTGAACAGTAGGGCAGGCTAGCTCAGTGTGAGAGATTTTCTATATCTGATTGACTAGGCCACTAGGGATGATTTCTTATCATTGTTGAACATAGACATCATGGGTAAATTGGATAATTAGTTAGTTCTATGTGGTCTTCTTTCATCATGAAATCGATGAAAAGGAAGATTCGATAACTAGGTGGGACTTGGGAGAAACTACAAGTGGATTGAGCATCCAGAAGACCTTTTGTTCTTTTTAGTTGTTGGTTACTTACCTAATAATAAACCTTTATAAAGAGAAAAGTATGAGAACTGACAGGAGTCTTCATTGGTGGCCAAAATCTCAAAGCTCTTAACAATTATTTATTTGAACCAACAACACTAGTAAAAACTTAAGGAGCAATTATGATGTTGGTTTTCTTTTAAGCTCACTATATTGTGGAGATCCCGTTGACAAATTACTCGGATGTGCTATTATGTTCTTTGTGTACTCATGCAGCCATGCTCATTATAAGAATTGTTGTAGCAGTTAACTTTTTGTTATTTTCGTTTCGTCACTCTATTCTTATAATGTAGTTTCTTGCATTTTTCTCCCTTATCAACTTCTTTGTATATGTCATAAATTATTGTATCTTAACTATACGACGGTTTAACTATCCAATTCTAAGATGGTATCACATGAAAAGGAAAGCTTTTGTCAAAAATAGTGTGACTGAAAGAAGTGAGACCCTCTATAAATTGATCTGGATATAATTCATGCAGTTACACCTTTTTCTATCTATGTCCCTGCAAGTGCTACCGTATCGAACACCTATTTTGTGTCATTTTTAGCAATTATTGGTGATTTGTTTGGAAAATGCATTTATTCTTATATAATTGCTGGTAAAATAGTTTATTCTGTAGAATATGTTTGCTAAAATTAATTTTATATTTCATTTTGAAGCTTGCAGGTAATGGATGATAGTGGGAGAAAATCTCTAGGAATATTCCCAGCCAAATTTCAGAAGAGTATTTGGATAAAACGAGGTATATTTTTAAGACAATTTGTTGTTTCAACTGCTTGTGATTTTTTAGCATTTTTCTCGCGGCATTCATTTGTCATGCCAAAAACTTATTTACTAGTCTTAGATAGACAATCAGTTGTTTCAACTGCTTGTGACTTTTGAGCATTTTTCTCACTGCATTAATTTGATATGCCAAAAACTTATTTACTAGTTTTAGTTAGTCTTGGAATAAAGACTATCTAAGACTATCAGGTTTATTTGGATAAAACGAGGTGTCTTTTCAAGACAATCGGTTGTTTCAATTGCTTGTGATTTTTGTGCATTTTTTTTGCGGCATTCATTTGATATGGAAAAAACTTATTTACTAGTCTTGGAATAAAAAGCCAACAGTGTTTCAAAAAGCGCTAGGCGGCACCTAGGCGGTTGGGGGGGGGGGGTGGTCCATGCCACCCAGCGCCTAGGCGGGGGCCCAGAACCTGGGCGGCTTAGTAAATTTTTTTTTTTTTGGGGTTTTTCTCTCTCAAAAATAACCTCTAATGGGTTTTAGGTTCATTTGAAACCTAAAACCCACAATTTTACACCTTTAGTATTAAGAAAAATACCCAAAAATGGCCTCAACGAGTGGCATTTTTGCCCTTGGGAGGGGCGTAGGTCCTGGGCGGCCGCCTAGGCGGATTCCCAGGCGCCCACCCGAGGATATCCACCTAATTTGGCCGCCTAGGCCTGGGTGATGCGCCCAAGCCTTCTGGACCGCCTCGACGGTCCCCCCAGGCACTAGGCGGTCCACTTTTTGAAACATTGAAAGCCAATGAGAAATCATCTGGCCATGTTATGCTATATCCCTTCCCAATCTGAATCATCATCAATAGAGCCTTTTCCCAACTAATTGGGGTCGGTTGAATACCATGAGTAGTCAAATGCTGACAACCACATCAGTTGTTATACCATGAGTAGCCAAATGGCGCATTATGCACCACATTCTTCAGAATTTCCTTTCTATCCATTACAGGGCCAGCTCAATCTCATCTCTAATCCAGGCCTAACTTTGCCTCCTGGAAGAATCTATTCTTGTCTCTAAACAGTTTGGGGTTTCTCTAGGAAAGTTTCATCCACCTTGAATAAGTGGATATGTTTAAACTTCTAACTTGGGGACAAAATCCTCCTTTCCGTCCCCTATTTATTTTTAATAAGCTTTTATGCCTTTGATAAGTTTGGTGATATGAGGTGTGAAGAATTGTCTGAAATATACACAACACTCACGCGCACACGCACACGCACACGCACACGCACACGCACACGCACACGCACACGCACACGCACACGCACACGCACACGCACGTGCACGTGCACGTACACGCACACGCACACACACATAGATGTGAATGAAAATGTTTGTAACAAGACCATTTACTTTTGATATGAGGGGTGACAGTAATAATTTATTATTAGATGTGAAATCAGTTAATGGTGGATCTGCCATTGATTCGGTACAAAGTCAAAAATGAAATTCCTAGAAGGGTGTGACACTTCAATTAGTTGGATTTCGCATCTAATGGTTAAGAATTATTTAATTTGCTTGTATCAAAAGTGAATGGTCTTGTAGTATACATTCCCATCTTCGATATGTGTGTGTGATCTTTTAAATTTTTATTTCTTGTTGTCAGTTAATTTTCGTATTACTTTCTAGTGAAGTCCTAGTATTTCATTGGTTGCTTGCTTTATTTAGGGAACTTTGTTGTGGTCGATGGAAGTGGAAGTGAGAAAGCCCTTGAATCAGGCAATAAAATAACTTGTATGATATCGCAAGTGCTCTTCCATGAGCAAGTTCGTACTCTTCAAAAATCTCCAGACTGGTAAGATTGCCTTTACATTTGCTAGATTTAAATTGCAGAGAAAAAATATTCTCTATATACCAAATGCAAAACAATGGTAATGCCAGTTAACAAAGAATAACAAATGTGAAACGAATTTGCAAATTGTGCTTCATATCTGATATCATGCATTCAAATCTCTCCCATTTGATCTTGAATGTTTTCATATTTTGTTGTTTTTCTTGTGCACTTGTCATCCATGATTATGATATCCACATTTTAACTGCTGCTACTATTTTTAGTAGTGTATTTTTTATTCTTTATTCACTATATTCATTTCAATCGTAAATGCAGGCCTGAGATTTTCAGAACGACTGCGTCTGTTGAGGCAAAAGACACAGAAACAACGAACGAGCAAATGGAAGAGGCACATTGTTCAAGTGATGACGGCCTCCCCCCACTCGAAGCCAACCTTAATAGAGTGAGACTAGCTGAATTACTCACCGATTCGTCCTCGGATGATTCGGATTCTTAAGTGTAAATAATTGCACATCTGGGTTTTATGTTCTCATTGGAATATTTTTGTGGGGTGAGGGATCTTTGTTATTGTTTTTATGTTCTCATTGCAATATTTTTACGAGGTGAGGGATCTTTGTTATTGTTTTATGTTCTCATTGCAATATTTTTTGGGAAGTGAGGGATCTTTGTTATTGTCTTTATGTTCTCATTGCAATATTTTTGCGAGGTGAGGGATCGTTGTTATTGTTTTATAGTTAAGTGCAACGATGCCCAAGAAGAGTTGGCATAATATTATTTTTGTAGTGGATCCAATTACAATCTCACGTCTTGGTGAGCTTGGGATTTTATGATATCTTTCTATTGTTCAGTTTATATGTAATGCTCCCATCACAAGAGCTTCAACCGTGTGATATGTATGCCCGTAGCTGCATGAGTATTTACAAAAGGGAACACGTTTATATACGTGCGAGGCTTTAAACAATCAAATTAAAGTGTACCTCAAAAATTCACTAGAATAGGTTGTTTAAATGCACAAAATTCCCTAAGTTCATCAACTCACCGTCACGGTGTACGTACATGGCAGAAAAATGTACTTTCAAGTCTTGAAAATAGTGAATCTTGGGATGTATTTTTTGGCACGTCATTTTTCAAGATTTTAAAGTGTTCTATATTTTTTAAATTTTAAATTTTATAATTAATTATGAAAAATTTTTAATCCACAAAGATTTCTAGTATTAGGACATCTTTCAGCATTGTTTGAAAGCGTGTCTTACTTTGACGGTTGGAGCCTCGGCTTTATGGGAGCCTCGGCTTTATGGAAGCCTTACCATTCGTAATTGCAAAAAGCTAAAGGGAATATTTTGTAAAGGAAAAGTTTATGCAAGGTTGCCACCTTAAAATGTAGATTAAAATGTAGAATTATAGTTATACCAAAAAAATCTATCCTCAAAGTGTTTTTTAATGTTGAAAATCTTTCTAATTGATATATGAATATGAAATAAAAAAAGATTTTGAATCTCAAATGTAGTGTATTTTGCAACACATTATTTAGACGATTCATTTTTAAGATTTTCATATGTTTATAGATCTATTTGATTTTAACAATTTTTAGAATTGGCAATTTTATAATAAGATATCAAAATAGATTTTTAAAAAATCCTAAGAAGTTTTTATACCAAAATTATAAAATTTGGAGGTGTTAAAGGTCGTAAACCCTATAGGAACCAAATGTAATGTTTCCACGCCCATGATCTTAAACTGCTCTATAAAATAGAGAATGTGAACGAAAGAAAACTCCTGTTTGTTCTGGTTTCCAATCTCTTGCAATATAGGTTGATGGAAAAGCATACTTCTGATTTAGAACCGGAGAAAGCCCGAGTATTTGTGCGACTTTACTTGCGCTACACCAATTACAAAAATAAACACATTCCTATTTAAGACTCTAAATCAAATATTCAAGTTATTTTCTAACAAAATAGTTGAGAGGAGGTATTTGAGCGAAACAATGTATAAAAGTTTAGATTAGGGGGATTGTCAATCCCCAAAATCGGTCTGGATCATGATATTGGAAATCGGGTTGAGAAACTAGGCACGCAAAAAAAATTAAAAGAATTTAGATAAAATAAAAAATTGGAAAAATAAAAATAAAAATGGCGGGGCTGGATCTCGGCCGGCTCCAGACAAAACTTCCTACTGGGAACTTGCCGGTTCTTGATATATTTGGGGAACAAACTCGGTCGCTTCAATTCTCGATCTAGATCGGTCCATTCTGATCCAAAAATCAACGCTTTTTTTAACCTTGGAGTGAAGTAATATTTTTCAAAGTATCCTCTCGAGAACACTAGAAACCCTGTAGGCATCTCTAACAAAATAGTAATAAAGCAGAATAATATTTTTAGAAGTACCCACTTTGTTTGGGGATTGTCTACAATGAGACCATTTATTTTTATTATAAGGAGAGAACATTTATTCCCACTCATTACATGTCAAATTGGATGGCTTGGGATAAGTCATGAAGCCCGATAATTTTATTTTTTTTGGAACTTTGTGTGTATTCAATGATATTCTTATAATTTACAACCACTCATTTTGAAATTTAACGGACAAGAGAGATTGACCTCCTTAAACAAAAGTAAATAATATTTTTATATATTTTTCCCTTTGTATGTTAGTTGATTTGACTTCTCACCCAAGTGATTTTGTGTAATTTAATACTATATGATATATACTTTAAAATTGAAGAGCAAGTAATGTTTACCTACAACATTCAAGGAACATAACTAGTATTATAAAGATTAAAAATTAATTTTTGTTTAAAAGAAATATATCACAAAGATTAAACATTAGTGCTTTTTAAAACGGAAAAAGTTTATATAAGGGTGGAGCTCTAAACAATCAAATTAAGACACATAAACTTTCACTAAAAGACGATGTTTTGATGCCCGAAAATTCCCAAATGGATCATTTTGACTTTAAGACGTATGGACATGAGAAAAATGGGTTATTTTGACATGTTACTGGGTACTCTGATGCAGATTTTGTAGGAGACCCAGATGATAGAAAATCAACTTCAGGACTTGTATTCTCTGATGCAGATTTTGCAGGAGACCCAAAAGATAGAAAATCAACTTCAGGACTTGTATTTCTCTCTGTAGGTGGATGTGGTTCTTGGTCTAGCAAGTAACAAAGTTGTGTAGGTAGGTATATTATGGAAGCCAAATATATTGCTTGTAGCATTGCTACAACTTATGCCTTCTGGACTAAACGCTTTATAAATGATTTGAAGCTGGATAAAGCCGCCAAACTTGTTAATTTTTTTTTGTGATAATCAGGCTGTCATCATATCAATTAGAAATGGAGCCTATAGTTTCAAGGGTAAGCACATTGAAATTGATTATTATTGCATTTATGATATTATTGGAAAGAATGAAATAATTGTAAGTTATTCGCATCTTCAGATGTGATTGCAAATTCTTTAACAAAGGGATTAAGTGTAGAAATATTATCATGTAGTTTTGATGGGACTTAGAAATATCAAGAACTCCCAATTGGGTTATTTTTCTTTGATGTCTTAGTCATGAGAAGAAAAGCAACATTAGCGTGAAAAATCCCATGACATGATTTTAGATATTTTTTTTGTTATGAGATATATAACCACACTAGCGTGAAAAGACTCATGATAAGAGAATATGTCATTATCCAACGGGTAGAAACCACTTCCCAAGATTAGAGGGTCACGTTTCTCAAATATTAAATGAGGAAAGCCGAACGTTAGAAAACGACATCCTCCCATCTCTTTTTAAGAATGGTTTTCATGGCTTTGGAGATGAACATAAAGTTTTCAATTGTTCTGGTAAAACCTGATCTTTGTCATCTACAATCTTACGACATTGCCTTCTACTCTTAGGACTTTGGTGGGTTCATCTCTTCCCATCAATAATTCAACAATCAAAACCATACCATAGGTGGCCATGGCTACGGCAATTATAGGTAGTTCAGTGAGGGGCCTGAACTCATTTGGTGGCGACGAGAGAGCCTGGCTCACGAAAGAGGGCACAGGGTGGGTTCGGTGCGCCTTACCGAGCAGGACGAGGCCTATGATGCGTAACGTGAATGAGGGCAAGGGCCTCCTTGCTCCACTGGTTGTGGTGGCTAGGAACATTACAGGCAAGAAAAGGTTTAACCATTTCAGGTGTAAGGCCAGTGCACTTCACTCTCAGGTGAACACAATTGACTAAAATTTCCTCTCTCTAAACACAGTTGACTAGAACTCTCTCTCTGTTCTTTTGCAGAGGGTGTGCATGGATCCAAGTTTTCAAATTTTGCTTTTCGATGAATGACAAAACCATGTTTGCTGAGGGTGTGCATGGATCCAAGTTTTCAAATTTTGCTTTTCGATGAATGACAAAACCATGTAACTCTCTCTCTCTTTCTCTGTGTTTTCCTTTGCTACTGTATGTACATGGATCCAAGTTTTCCGTGTTGGGTATGGGAGTAAAACTCTCTATTTCGAGGCGAATTGCAGTGCTAGATTTTTTCTTCATCTTTCTTACTCATGGACTAAACCCCATCGATTTTCAAGAGAAATTTTTTTAAAAAATATTGCGGCGAATTTGATGGTTTAAGAAAAGATAAAACTAGGAATTCCATAGGAAAAATAAAAACTTTCAGCATTTTTGTGAACTAAATTTGTCTCTTTTAGTGAACTAAATTTGGTTAATGTCATCCACATTTAAGTCTCAACGCATTAATTCACATATTCAATCTGAAAATTGGGATTTTGCTCAATTATTCTGAAATTTTGAACTTGGCTTAGTTATATCAGTGTTGTATATTGGAGACTGCTGAATTACTCGGCCTCAGCATGGTGTCTGACGTACGTGCTCAGGGTTAGGTGATCTATGAACTTCGTGACATATACTAAACTATCCAATTAAACATCTAATGGCTAAGATTAATCATGATGTCTTTGTACTAAAGATAATAGTCTTATAGTATACAATCCGTTTGACATATAAAACTAAAAGATAAGCCATAGGGTTGTCTAATGCTAATACATCCGATCGACTAATAAATTGGGTTGTCTGATATCCATGACCTCGAACAACCCTGAATTATACAAAAAAAATAAAACAAAACAAAGAAGGATTTTTCTACCGGTCTGATGCTGCAAGCATCATTACTCATGAAAAAAAAAAGAAATCAAATGGTACATGTATTTTCCAAAAAAATTGCATTCATTTTTACCATTTATAGTTAATACAATTCTTAATTTCTATTTTATCCAAATTGGTGTAATCACATTATTTTTTGAGAAGGTGTATGATAAAGACTATTTACTTGTCACACAAGGAGCTCACACTCACCCTCAGCTATTAAATGAAAAATCAAATAGCTAAAAGTGTGTCATTGAATGTGCAACAATGTTCAATAAAAATTTTATCGAACTTTGTAACTCATTTTTAGTATCTAGATTTAAAATCTAACAGTTATAAATGTTTGCGACTTTCCTTTGCGAGAAATAAACGGTCTCTTAATATACATTCCCTTAATTTATTTTATTTTTTGTCTAGGTAACCTTCCTGCTCCACCAACATATTCATTTTTAAATATGATTTGTCATATTTTCATTCACTTACTGCCCGTGTATTTTAGAAAAGGTTTGGAGGGAGTCTCTACTAGGGACTTATTTCAATTTCACAAGCACTTGCTTTAAATCAAGTTTGTTTCACAATCTTATTTTCATTTTGAGAAGATTATATTGATTTCACAATCTTATTTTTTCGATGTTTTCTTGAAAGTATTTGCTTTGAAATCTTGTGATCGTAAATAATCTCCATGTCTTACCCATATTTATTTGTTTATTTTTGTATCTTCCTATTGAATAAGATTTACTCATCTTTATGGAATGCTTTATGCCCTTAAACATACCAGTATTCCACTGTATATGTATACAGGAACACCTCATTCATGTAATTCCATGTTCTTTAAGTTCTCTTTCTCTCTCTCTAGTATTTATCAAGTTTGGATCCTGAACCCAAATTTCGTATCTTATACGGATCCAGGTATGGATAGATTATTTGGATCCGATATGAATCCGATCTGATTTTTAAAATTGTATATATTATTTTATACATAGTATTATATTTATTAATGAACCCATATGTGGAAATACGGGCCTCTTAATAAATCTATCTTTGAGATGGATTTTAAGACTTAAATTTTAAAGACATGTAATGTCTAATATGGAGATCATGAATATGGAAAAACAAATAAATGTAAAAACTAGAAATAATAATTCTAGTAAGAAAATTTTTGGACCATTAGTTTTCATTGTTTTTAGATGAAACACCTACTTGCATCCATCTTTAAGATGGATGCTTTACACTTTTTGGACCACATATATAGAAATGTGGTCCAGCCCGCGTGAAA